GGTGGTGGTGGTGGTGGTGGTGGTGGTGGTAGCGGTTGTGGCTTTTGGTGGTTCGTGTTTGTTCGTGTCTTTACAAAAATTCTTTCGCGTTGTCCCGCGACAACACAAGACTCCCACCATTTCACACGGGATCACAGCACACCCGACACGGGAACCGAAAACACCGGACGCGAAAACCAGAAACACCGGAGACCTAAACGCACCGAACGCGGGAACCGAAAACACCGGACGCGGGAACCGAAAAAATCCGCGCATTTGTTCCCTCTTCAACGCAAGGCGGGAACCGAAAACACCATCACAGGAACTGAAAACACCCGCGGGCACTGAAAAAACCGAGCCGGCCACCGAAAACACCGCCGCGCGGGAACCAAAAACCCACTTGGGAACCAAAAACACCGCGGGAACCGAAAACATCAACGTGGGAAGAAAAAACACCGCGGGAACTGGAAACACCAATCCGGGAACCAAAAACCCGGAGCCCTGACCAATCTGGGAAAAGGAAACACCACGGGAAGGGAAAACACCAATCTGGGAACTGAAAACAGCCAACCCAACCACTTGGCAAGCTTCTCCGTCCACGTTTCAGGTTCCAAGAAGCGACGAGAAGGACTGAATGAAAAACTACTGTCTGTCTAGTATCAGGACACTCTTAATGGGGATGCTGCAAGCGGGTTTGACCAATCTCGATGGGGGATCATATGGGATCATACCTGGACATGTCTGGACTATTGGCCGCCCAGCTACTGCAAGCTCCCTGAAGCAGTCCACTGAAAGATCGTACAGGTCCTCGCGTGGCGGAGCTCAGCGCATCTCTCTCGGAAAAGAGATCCCAAACGGGCCAACAGGTCTTAGTGGAACTCTAGGCATGCCCCCCCCTTGTGAAGACAAATGATTACAAACCGCACGTAGGGATGGTAAAAACGACCTGACCTGCTCCTATAAATCACAGAGAAACTGCTAGACGACCCTGAATGGAGGAACAACATCTTCCAAACCAGCTCTGGCAAACTCTGTCCACGATTGTCCACATTAGTTCATCAAAGTGTACGTCGGTTGCTTCCACTCCAGTTTCCCGTCCTGCTGGAGGTGCATCGACTGCAACATGTTGTACTTAATAAAGCGCGGAGCGGTCTTCGAATCATGAGCCCACCTGACGGGATGGGAGAGCTGTCGGAGCTCAGCTGTCTGCGAAGGCCTGACAAATCATTCCAGATCTTTCCTTTTAGACATCCGAGGAGCAGCTTGATTAGATGCAACTACTGCTGCTTGAGGAGACTCGGGAGGCCAAGCAAAAATTGAAAAAGAACCTGCACTGACCAAGGGGCAGGGCAACAACGCTTTCACCTCAAGCCAGGATGGCACGCCGAGTGCCATGACCATAATTATCCATAGCATTTACTAGTACACTTTAATACCATTATACACTCCATGTTACCCGTGTCAATACCCAGCTGGATGAAAAAGGGCTGCATCCCTCGTGAGCTCGGGCGTGGACCCCGCAAACACAAGCACAACAAGGGCTGCTCGAGACGATGAGGGCATGGAGCTGCTCGGCCTGCTCAGTGGGCCAATGAATTCGGAGATTTCAATGGTGCCGGATTCGTCCAGGTCTATCCTCGGTCGCGACCATCGGTGGGTATCCCGTTGGGATTCGGTGCTTCAATCTCCACCCCAGAAACATCCGCTTGGTATCTCTGCGTCAAGCTTTCCAAGTCTTGGGTTCATGGTTGGTTTGTGTGCCAGAATGCAGTGGCCCCCCCAAATGGAGAGAAAACGGTGTCCAATACATTTTGAGTGGTGATCTGTTCTATTTGCGGGTCTTCGCACATCTGAGTGGCCGACCCTGGCGGCTAAAAACTAAAACATCCCCCGGCAATGAATAGTGGAAATGTGTTCAGTGCGGGAATCTGGATATGTTTGTATGAAGGAGATCGGCCATGTCCAAAACATGTCATCTCTGGCCCTCTTGCCCATTCTTTGCAATTGCAGGATTGTGGATGGTCGGGCGGCAAAAAGACGTCGTAGTTGTATTTGATTTTGTGACTTTCGCGGGAAGTTACTGCTGGAGTTCAACCGCCGGACTGCTTGGGGTGGACGTCCACGCCTGCCAATCAACTCAGACCACGGGGGACCAGGATCCAACGGGCAACCCGAAAAACATTCGAAAACGTGTGCTGAGCCTCATGTGAAAGAGTTGCTCCAGGTCATGCTCGTCAATGTCCATGACTCTCAAACCTTGGATGTGTCTTCGGAGTGACAATAAATGACACATCTTCTCCCATTCGAACCCTGAAATCCACCGGGGAAAATTCAAAACAGTCCTTGACAAAACCGAGGAAACGGCTCTGGAAGGCTTTGTCATGTCGAGCCCCTTCGATCAGCTCGCGGAGCGTTAGCTGCCCGCTGCCGTCTTTGTCAATGCGTTGAAAGAGCTTGGACAAGGCCTTCCGGTCATGCTCCTCAGAGTGATTTTCTGCATGGCCCATCCATGTTCCAGAAGAACAAAAGCACACACACAAATAGAGAACAAACAAAAACACATATTTAATAATTAATTAATGTCGAGTCAATATAATATACCATTTAGGTATATATATATATATCTATATAGATAATATTAGATAATTATGGATATATAATGATATATATATATATATATTTGTGTCCACCAGAGGTATCTTTATTCTAGAAATCAAAAAAAACTTGAAAAAACAATAACGCGAAAACAAAAACAAACCAAAAAAGCACCAGCAAAACAAAGAGCAACCAAGAAAGCAAAAATAATGCAACCAAAAGTGCAACCAAAAAAGCACAAGCAAAACAAAGAGCAACCAAGAAAGCAAAAACAACAGCAAAAAAAAAGCAACCAAAAAAGAACAAGCAAAACACAAAGGGTAGTTTGGAGGGGCCGGGTAGGGTTAGTAGTGGACAAGGGTCTTTTCTGGTGCCGGGCCAAGCGTCGCACCTTTGGTCGCTTTTTGTCACTTTTTTCTCCGGGACCGAGTAAAAAGTCGCACTCTTGGTCGCTCTTTTTCCCGCAAACATGCAAAAATAAAGCGAAAAAAGAGCAAAAAAACAGCGACTAAAAGTGCGACTTTTTACCCGGCCCCGGAGAAAAATTGCAGAAAAGCGACCAAAAGTGCACCAGAAAGTGGACCCTCCCCCAAAAGTGCGCTAGAAAGTGGACCCTCCCCCAAAAGCGCGCCAGAATGCACGCCAGAACGTGGACGCTTCCAAAAAGTGCGCCAGAAAGCCCGGCTGAGTTGTTCCATTTTTGCTTGCATTGTTTGTGTGTGTTTTAAATGATTGCTTTTGTTTTTCTGGCTGTATTTTGTGATTGTGTTTTTTTTTGTTTCAAGATTATCAACTTCTAGAATAAAGCGGTCTGGCAAACATAAATGTACATGATTATACATTCATATGCAGTAATTCGATAGAGATATAGGGTTGAACTTAGCCTGACGTAGCATAGTGGACTTGGGATTGCCAATGCTTATGTTTTGCTTTTAGCTAAAAATTGCAATGACCTATATAACGGGCAGTATCGCAACAAACCAATCAACGAGGCTTTTTCTGCCTGGCAAAAAGGATCTGAACTGCTGGCAAAATCAAACTCATGCACGGTAACAACCCAAAAAGCTGGCACCAATAAAGTGACTGACATCAAAAAATGACTTGTCTCAAGCAAGTGTCCTACCACCAACATACAATATGTAGTACTATATAAGTAGGTCGGCTCATTCTATCGGCAAAACTGTTTACAATGATGCACAATGCAAAATGCAATGTCTATACGGGTCTATACGTCAAACGTACAAACGGGGTCCGTCTGACAAAATGACAATTTGCCTTATATAGTATAAGTTAGGCAACTGAGAAGTGAGCCTGGGTCTGTCATTTTGTAGCACTCCAACCTTCCTCTACAAAATGCCGACTTCCCTCTTTGTTGTCTCTCAACCCACAGTTAACGACAGAAAACTATGCACAAGACAAAAACCTGGCATGGTCACAAAGTAGATCGAAGTCACCCTCAGCTCCGGGGAGCAGGAAAATGTTGTATCTTCCAAGCGGCTATCTCGTCTTCCATCTCTTCTGCCAAGTTTTGGACATCATTCTGGCGAGCGTCCGCAAAGGTGTCCTAAGCAGGGGTCACCAATGGTCCAACCGTCGACGAAGTGGTGGTTTGATGTGGGTTTTCACCAAATCAAATCCAACGCCCAACCACGATCCCCAACCGCGGCACGGGCGGCCACGGTGGAGTTGCACTAAAAATTCCTTCCCAGGTGCCACAACCACGGCCACGATGAGGTTCACAACGCCAAAGACCAAGGTCAACAAAGAGCCAACCTCGGGTCGGCTGCAGCGGTTCAAAGATCCAACGGGGGGCTGGGCCTCGAAGCCGCGGCACTGGTTGCAGTACCCCACCCCAGCTGCGTCGGAGTTTCTTGCTTTGTATCTGTGATCCTTCTGTCTTGGATCTGCTTGTTGAAGCTCGGGCTTGAATATGCCAACAACCGGGCAATCTGTTTTGAACATTCGTCAGCATGCAAAGGTTAATCGAGATTAACCAAACATTAAAAAATACTGCCATCACATAATATATATATATATGTATAACCAAAAGAGATCCAAAACAGTTGTGATTGAAAGAGTTTAGAGTCTCTTGAACATGATTGATTGGCCAAGCTGCTCCATTAGGCTTCACCAAATGATGTCAGAACAACAACGGAATGACTCGTCGCGTATACGGCGTATCACTTTCACGGTAACTGTCAATATCTTATGCCTATACGTCGGACCTGTAGAAAACCGAACAGTCTATCCCATTACCAGTAACAGTGGGTGATGATGGTCAGCAAAGGCCCTTCTCTAAAATAGTGATAAATGTTTACCGACTGGTGCAGGTCATGGGACAAACCCAAAAGATTATAAATCTAAATGACTATATTCATCGTTCACATGGATGATAGGTCCTGTCTCGAATCGGCGCGACACACCCAATCGCGCCATGGCCCGTCCAAGCCACAAAAATGATCGCCGTCTCCGGGTGCTCCTGGTGCTTCGACCAAACACAGCTTTGGATCGCTGGTGAGGCAAGAAAAAAGCATCGTTAGAAGCGTTGAGAACTCAAGAATCCTTCTCAATCAAGGGCTTGCAGCCTGGAGCTTCGAAGTCGAATTGCCCGCGACTGAAGTGGCTCAAGCTGCTCTCTCTCTCACGGTGGTCTCCTGGATGAGGGGGACAGCGATCTGGCCCCAACTGTCTCCTGCAATCACGGTCTTGAAGAGCAACAGGTTGGCATGCATCACCTCTTCGGTTCACGCTTCAACGGGCCGGTGATGAACCAGCAGCTAGTTTCATAGGACATGAGGTTGAATTCGGGATTGCCTGAAAGCTAGCCAAGGCGGCTAAGTAACCAAGCAGAACGTGCCAAACCAGCACATAAAGACCAGTAGTTAAGCGAAAGTAAGACGAAACCTGGTGTTTGATCCACATTAGGTGGTTGATAATTAGCCCAGCTGGAGACCCCAATAGCAAGATACAAACCGGGACAAAAAGAAAAATCTGGAAACCACTGCTGTTTTCAACACATCGACCATCTCTTCCTTGGACACCATCATCACATAACCGGGACACCATCACAAAATGACCAGGGCACCATCAAAACATGACCGAGACACCGTCACAACATGATTGGGACACCATCACAACATAACCGGGACACCATCACAAGGTGACCGGGACACCAGCATGACATGACGGGGACACCATCACAACATGACCGGGACACCGTCACAACATGAGCGAGACACCATCACAACATGACTGGGACACCGTCACAACATGACTGGGACACAATCACAACATGACCGGGACACCATCACAAGGTGACCGGGACACCAACATGACATGACGGGAAAACCATCACAAAATGACCAGGACACCATCACAACATGACCGGGACACCGTCACATGACCCGGACACCATCAAAACATAACCGGCACACCGCCAAAACATAACCAGGACATCATCACAACAGGACCGGGACACCATCAAAACATGACCGGGACACCGTCTCAACACGACCGGGACACCATCAAAACATGACCGGGACACCATCACAA